CTTTAACTGTGCGAATGCTCCCCTGGTCACCGCCGAAACCTGGGGTTCCAGGCTCAGCGATGAGTCCAAGGATCACACCCAAGCTGCGAACCTGCATCTTCAGGGGGAGTGCAACCCCGTCCAACACAGGCTGTAACCCTATACCCTGTTTGGCCTTACGACTGACCAGGAGTACCTCTGTCTTGTCTGGATTCAGTTTCACAAGGTCTTTAGCCTCCTCTGCCAAAAAGGGCTGATGCTTCATCGCTCCCATGATTTCATAGCATGGATTCATGAAATGGGTGTCAAATTGCATTAATTATGCGGTGTAGATTCAGCCCCTGAGGCCAGAGAGGATTGCCAGGATGTAGGACGGGGCAGTGTGGGAAGTCTGGAGGGAATCTGCATGTGGCTCAAGGGCTACAATTTGCCCACCCGGTTCTAAATAAAGACTTACCATCCCACATTACACACAGGGTGATAGTCATCGCCATTATTATTCAATTAGTGGAAAGCAAGGGGAATCCAGTGGGATAGTCCTTAAGGCTGACATCAGTACTATAATTATCATTTTGCTTGGAATTAAGCCAGGTTTCCTTCCCTGCTCTATGGGCCTCCATTCCTCTTATCTCTGCAAAAGCAATTAAATGGTAGGAAAAGAATATCCATTAAAATAGCGCAAGTGGGATTTCCTTCTGTCTTCTTTTTAAAGCATTTGGACCATTCATTTACTACAAAGAGGGAAATAAAATGGTCCCTGAACTTGTTGCAAATATCAACTTTTGATTTAGCATGTCGCTTTTGCCGAAATGAATCCAAAAGTGGAAGAATAAGATTTACCTTCAAGAAAAAAAACCTGGATTGCAAGCATGCCAGAAATAGCAGGAATTGACAGGTGTGATAATAGAGAAATTGATAGACACCTTTTCAAATTACTGGAAATCTGTTATAATCTATATAAATAAAAAAGGAATGTTCGTTTGTGGGATTAACATAACTCAAAAACATTACAATGCATGTGCAAAACCACATATATAAATGTAAACACACATATATACACATATACGCAGACTGGGCCACTGCAACATGTGGCAGGGGGAGGCTAGTACATATTAAAAAGAAAGAAAATGGGAAATCATTGTGAGTTAGTGAAATGGCAGGGAGAAGGTTTGAGGAAAAGAGACAAAAGAGAGTTCCTGAGGTCTGTAAAAGCATGAATTATTCTCAGTTGGCACCAACCAGATATGGACCCTGCTGGTAGTCCAGGAAACAGGATACTGAACAAAATAATTGCCTTGGTTTATATACTCTTTAAAATAATATGCTTGCATCATACAAGCATCACAATGTACATCACAAAATTCCACTTTTACATTGATTCCAATAGCATATTTTAACTTCAACACTTTCAATCTTCCATTAAGCACCTTTATCTAAAAGAGCTGCTCATTAAGAGGACCGCCCCATACCCCATAGCGCCAGAAGGTCTACCAGGCTACTGATAGCAAGAGCTTCCATCCATCCTGAGATAAGTCCTTCCTGAAGAAGCCTCTTGATATCCACGCTTATTAATCTTACGATAAGCCCTGCTGGAACCAAAATGGAAGTCTCTTGAAATTTGCCAGAAGCCTGGCAAAAAACCAAAAAATACATTACAACACATGCGCAAAACCACATATATACACAAACACACATATATTTGCATATACACAAATACATACACACATATACATGTATATACATACACAAAACTATATACACAGACTGAGCCACAGCAACACGTGGCAGGGGACGGCTAGCGATAAATAAATATCAATAGATGCATGAAAACCTGGGAACCACGACAGCACCCCGCTTGGCCAGAACCGAGCACAGCCTCCAAGATGCCAAAGATGGGAAAGCCTATATATTCCTCTATCTATGTATAGATGTCTGTCTTGTCAGTGTATAATGGCATTGAATGTTTGCCGTACATACAATACAATACAAAACTTTATTATGGTCACTGACCAGCACAAGCTTGCCGTATATGTTTTCTGTGATCCACTCTGAATCCCCTTTGGGGTGAGAAGGGCGGAATATAAATACCATAAATAAAATTTTAAAAATATAAAATAAATGAGGGATTCATTTGAAGGGAGCTTTAGGGAGCAAAGTAAAAGTAGGATTAAAATGGTCTATTATATTATATGAAAAGCGATATATATCACAATATGTAACATGGAACACATGTAATAAAAATGTAAAAAATAGACTGTGGACAAGTCTACATAGGGACCACCAAAGCCACGAGAATAAAGATGAAGATCCACCCAGAGCAAAAGTGTTTCTGCCATACATCAAGGGAACCACTGACCGCATAGGGAAGCTGATGAGGAAACACAACATACAAACTATCTACAGACCCCAAAAAATCCAACAAATGCTACGTTCAGCAAAGGACAAGAGGGATCCTCTCACCTCTGCAGGAGTCTACCGTATACCATGCAGCTGTGGACAAGTCTACATAGGGACCACCAAACGCAGCAGCATTGCCCAGACACGAATCAAGGAACATGAAAGGCACCGCAGACTCCTTCAACCAGAGAAGTCAGCCATAGCAGAGCACCTGATGAACCAACCTGGACAGAGCATTTTATTTGAGAACACAGAAATGCTGGACCACTCTCACAACCACCATGTCAGACTACACAGAGAAGCCATTGAAATCCACAAGCATGTGGACAATTTAAACAGAAAGGAGGAAACCATGAAAATGAACAAAATCTGGCTACCAGTATTAAAAAAACTAAAATTACAACAGCAAAACAACAGAGAGGAAACAATCAGGCACATCTAATCACCTCTCACAAAAGATTCCCCAGGCACTTCCAAGCCATTAAATGCTAATCAAGGTGGTCAGTTGAAACATTCACACCTAGCTCCAGCAGACAAAAGTCCTTTGCCCCACCCTGGTCATTCCACAGATATATAAACTCATTTTCCTACTTCCAAAAGACCCCACTACCTCTGAGAATGCTTGCCATAGATGCAGGTGAAACGTCAGGAGAAAATGCCTCCAGAACATGGCCATATAACCCAGAAAAACCTACAACAACCCTGTATAAATTAAACTAAGTATATGGGGATATTTGTGTGTTCTTACTAATTTGTAAAAAGTAAATAAGCCACTTCAATATCCCACTTATTCAGACTTCTATTTTTTTATTTCATTTCCAAATTGAAGGATTTTTATGTGCAGTTCTTGAAAGGTACATAAACCGAAGCGCATCATGTCTGCAGTTCAGAAAAGGTGGCACTCCAAAGGTCATTGCCAAACCCCTAGAGCCTCTACGGCGGATGCCAAAGGGGATGATGGAGATGATATTTTAACAAGAAAGCAAAGGCCAGAAGCCTAGAGAGTAAACCTAGACGCCCGATCGTGCAGAGGCAGCTGTTAAGGCATCCCTCTTGAGAGAGACGAGGATGGAAACATTTGCAAATCATCTGTCATCCAGAAACTCCAGGGAAGGAACCCAGGTCGTCCCCAAGAGAAGCAAATCTCTTGCAGAAGTGTCAACTTTCCTTTATTTACTTTATTTTTATCCCACTTTTCTCTCAATACAAGGACTCAAAACAGTCAATGCTCAGCCTATCCCCATCCAAGGGCTTCAGCTGTCCAAAAAATAATGTGTCAATACCTATAATACTTTGTGAATGGTATTGTTGTTGTTGATCTTTGCCATCAATGCAACGTGAACTTAAGGAAGCTAAACTATAGGACGTAGTGTGCTGTTGCATGCTGGGCCTGTACAAAACTGCAGACAGGACATAAATTCTGTGACCAACAGGACGCCAGAGCTGCCTCAGATTAAAGATCTTTGGATTTTCTTAAATAGAGTCTTTAGATTGCTAAAAGGTTCAACAAAGTTCTTTATTATTGAAACCAAACAGGTACTTCAAGGCTTTCTTAATAGTCTATTGGCTCTCTCAATCTTGTCCACAGGGYACAGGCACTATCTTCATAACTGTATTTTMACTAATGAGGAAATCCTTAACCTCTTATCTGGGCAGTCTGTCTTTGCCTCTGTTGACGTGGAGCCCCTACACCTGGTACCAACTGCTTCTGGCTGCCATGAGTGGCCCTTACCAAACAGAGTCCTTTGTAGCCTTCCAGGGGAAAAGAAGGTGTTCAGGTTTCAGTGATGGCTGGRGGAAGTGCTGTGGGACTGGGTTCCCTCAGCAAAGGAGCTGTAAGGCTGTAAAATCCTCAAAGAGTTGTGCTGAGACTGTATCTCTCTGGCCAAGCTATGGGGCTGTATCTTCCCGGCCAAGCTGTAAAAGACGAAGCTTTCTACAGGAGCTCCTGGTTTTATGTCCTGTATGAAAGGCTTCTCTGTGTGGARTGACCCAAAATGGCTCCTATTCCCTCCAAAACCCAAAAAGGGGACGGGACCAGGGAACCTAATGATAATTGACAGGTCATAGATCCAATAAATGCAAATTAAGGAAAGCCATCTAACTGCTGAGGCATAGAACTTTAAAATACATGCAGTAATCAACAAATAGCAAGATAAGCTGGAGCTCCTGGTGCGGCTGTACCAGAACAATGAGTGAGAGACTTCCAAGAGCCGGGGTCATCAACACGAAAACAGGAACTGCTATTGTTTTGGATTTAATCACCTGCTCAGATATTACAAATTCAGAGTAGCTCTAACTTCCTTGGTTGAATCAGTCCACTTCCTCTTTTCCTACTGCCTTCCACTTCATATAATTTTTTTCCCCCACTGAGTCACTTTGTGAGTCTTGATATTTCCATAGGATGACAGCCTCGGTTTAGTAATTTTGGCTTCAAGTAAGTCTTCTGAGATTTTCCCCCCACAACTACAGAAGTAAGTAAACGTGCGCTGGGATTGCTCCCAAAAGTGGTGCAGAGAAAATCCCTTGGAAATCCAGATAAGGTCCCCAACTAGAGAGATGGAACAATACTCTGACTTAGCCACTGATCCCATGCATATTATCTATGCTTTTGTGTGTTGCAGTCTCGAGGGACGACCCTGGGATCTGCGGGGAGGTTCCGCTGCCCATCCTGTCGCCACGAAGTTGTCCTGGACAGACATGGCATTTATGGGCTGCAGAGGAACCTCTTGGTGGAGAACATCATTGATGTTTACAAGCAAGCATCAGCAAGAGGACCAGAGAGGTGGGTTCTTCTATTCATCTTTATCCGGCATGGGCACACTTTGGCTCTCCCTCCAGGTGTTTTGGACTTCAACTTCCACAATTCCTAACAGCCTACCGGCTGTTAGGAATTGTGGAAGTTGAAGTCCAAAACACTTGGAGGGAGAACCAAAATTTGCCCATGCTTGATCTATATATTAGCATATCTACCTGATGTCAGAGGGGCCACTGCCAGATGGCCATCCAGCCTCTGTTTAAAAGTTTCCAAGGAAGGAGCTTCCACTGCACTGTGAGGCAGAGAGTTCCACTGTTGAACAGTTCATACGGTCTCTGCAAAACCACATATATACACACACAAAACACATATACACAGACTGAGCCACAGCAACGCATGTCAGGGGATGGCTAGTGTGTGTGTGTGCGTATGTATATGTATATATATGTGTGTGTGTGTGTGTGTGTGTGTAAACAGGTTGAAAGGTTGTTACTGACATTAAGTCCAGTAATGTCTGACTCTGGGGTGTGGTGCTCATCTCCATTTCTAAGCTGAAGAGCTGGTGTTGTCCATAGACACCTCCAAGGTCTTGTGGCCGGCATGACTGCATGGAGCGCCATTATATATATATATATATATATATATATATATATATAGATAGATATAGATATATATAGATATATATGAGAGAGAGAGAGAGAGAGAATGAATTATTATTATTATTATTATTATTATTATTATTATTATTATTATTATATGGTTCAGGACCTGCCTATCTTTGTGATTGCGTCTTCCCCTATGAGCTAGCACATACTTTAAGATCATCCGGGGAGGCTCTTCTCTTATTATTATTATTATTATTAACTTTATTTGTACCCCGCTAGCATCTCCCGAAGGACTCGATGCGGCTTACAAAGGCCAAGGCCTCAACACACAATACAACAATACAAACCAAAGGCAAATTAAAAACAATTAAAGCAATATAAACAACAAGCAATAACCAATACACTAAGACACAATAAAACTGGGCCGGGCCAGAGTAATGGGTACAGGATTAAAAGTGCTGATGTGACAGGTGGGATATAAGGCTTATAGGGCGAGTGCAGTGTGCGATGTGCAGCAATCTTAGTTCTACTAAAGTGCTTGTGGGACTTGGTATTGGAGATTTCCTAATCTAGAAAGGCACATCAGAACAGCCAGGTCTTCAAGTTCTTTCTGAAGACTGCCAATGTAGGGGCCTGTCTAGATCTTTGGGGAGGGTGTTCCAGAGTCGGGGGGCCACCACAGAAAAGGCCCTGTCTCGTGTCCCCACCAAACGCGCTTGCGACGCAGGCGGGATCACGAGCAGGGCCTCTCCAGATGACCGAAGTGAACGCGTGGGTTCGTAGATGGAGATGCGGTCACGCAGGTAGGATGGTCCCAAACCATGTTGTACCCTGCTTCATGCCATGAGGACAGGGAGGTTACAAATAAAATGTATTATTATTATTATTATTATTATTATTATTATTATTATTAATTATAAGACTTCTGTTCATCAACAATCTTCGTCAGTTTTTGCAAACTCAGGGCGATGTGCTCTTTGACAGAATCAATCCTCCTGTAATGCAATTTATTTCTATTCTTATAGGCTTCCACTTTATAAGACATCTCATTTTCTCCAGTGTGTCTCGTCATTTCATGATGTTTTCCACAGTACGAGAGTCTCAGTGGAGTCATATTTACACTGATTAATTCCCACCAGATACCAGTTTTATCCAAACCAGAAGTGCACTTCTGACTATTTCATTTTTGTTGCTGTTTTTCTGGCATCGGGTACTGAAAGTTACCCAATAATTGTACCTAAGCCCAGACTGGAGAAAGCAACAAGAGCAGATAAATATTGAGAGTCATGTGTCAGGTTGCTATGAGTTTTTGAGGCTGCATGTTCATGGTCAAGAAGCATTCTCTCCTGACGTTTCACCCACATTTATGGCAGGCTTCCTCAGAGGTTGTGAGGTCAATTTTGTGTTGTGTTGTGTTGCAGTGTTTAATTCAGGGGACGTCCAGGTGGAACTTTTCATGTGCATTGAACATAGACCTCCATATTCATTAATATTATTTAACTTATTTATTGCAGTTCTCATATCTCATCAAAGATATCAAAGAATCATAGAATCAAAGAGTTGGAAGAGACCTCATGGGCCATCCAGTCCAACCCCCTGCCAAGAAGCAGGAATATTGCATTAAAATCACCCCTGACAGATGGCCATCCAGCCTCTGTTTAAAATCAAATGGAGGAAGGTTTGTCTGAGTAGAGGCAAATCAGAAATACTATAACATCATGTTCCTAAGTATTGTCGAAGGCATTCATGGCCAGAATCACCGGGTTGTTGTAGGTTTTTTCGGGCTATATGGCCATGGTCTAGAGGCATTCTCTCCTGATGTTTCGCCTGCATCTATGGCAAGCATCCTCAGAGGTAATGAGGTCTGTTGGAACTAGAAAGAAGGGTTTATGTATCTGTGGAATGATCAGGGTGAGACAAAGGACTCTTGTCTGCTGGAGCTAGGTGTGAATGTTTCAACTGATCACCCTGATTAGCACCACCACCATGTCAGACTACACAGAGAAGCCATTGAAATACACAAGCATGTGGACAATTTCAACAGAAAGGAGGAAACCATGAAAATGAACAAAATCTGGCTACCAGTATTTAAAAACTCTAAAATTGCAACAGCACAACAACAGAGAGGAAACAAACAAGGACATCTAATCACCTCTCAACAAAAGTTTGCTCCAGGCACTGTCAGGCCATTATATGCTAATCAAGGTGGTCAGTTGAAACATTCACACCTAGCTCCAACAGACAGGAGTCCTTTGTCCCACCTGGTCATTCCACAGATATATAAACCCCTTTTCCTAGTTCCAACAGACCTCACTACCTCTGAGGATGCTTGCCATAGATGCAGGTGAAACGTCAGGAGAGAATGCCTCTAGACCATGGCCATATAGCCCAAAAAACCTACAACAACCCATCATGTTCCTAACTTTTTGGCTGTGAGATATTTCAATTGGCCACCAGAGGTCTCTGTGTACTACAGTCTTTTTAAAAAAATCACCATCCTCTTCCCTTTAAGATGCATTTCATTCCTCTACTCCAGTGTTTCTCAACCTTCCTAATGCTGTGACCCCTTCATACATCTCCCCATATTGTGGTGACCCCCAACCATAACATTATTTTCATTGCTAGCTCATAACTCTAATTCTGCTACTGTTATGAATCGTCATGTAAATATATGATATGTAGGATCTGTTTTCATTCACTGGACCAGATTTAGCACAAATATCCAACACGCCCAAATTTGAATACTGGTGAAGTTTTGGGGTGGGATTGATTTTGTCATTTGGGAGTTGTAGTTGCTGGGATTTATAATTAACCCGCAATCAAAGCATTCTGAACTCCACCAACAATGGCATTGAACCAAATTTCCCACACAGAACTCCCACAACCAAAAGAAAATACTGGAAGGGTTTGGTGGGCATTGACCTTGAGTTTTGGAGTTGTAGTTCACCTACATCCAGAGAGCACGGTGGACTCAAACAATGATAGATATGGACCAAACTTGGCACAAATACTCAATGTGCCCAAATGTGAACACTGGTGGAGTTTGGGGAATATAGACCTTGATATTTGGGAGTTGTAGTTGCTGGGATTTATAGTGCACCTACAATCAAAGAGCATTCTGATCACCAACAACGATGGAATTGAACCAGTCTTGGCACACAGAACTCTCACATCGAACAGAAAATATTGGAAGGGTTTGGTGAGCATTGACCTTGAGTTTTGGAGTTGTAGTTCACCTAATTCCAGAGAGCACTGTGGAGTCAAACAATGATAGATATGGACCAAACTTGGCACCAATACTCAATGTGCCCAAATGTGAACACTGGTGGAGTTTGGGGAAAATAGACCTTGATTTTTGGGAGTTGTAGTTGCTGGGATTTATGGTTAACCTACAACCGAAGAGCATTCTGAACTACACCAATGATAGAATTGAACCAAACTTGACACACAAAACTCCCACAACCAACAGAAAATACTGGAAGGGTTTGGTGGGCATTGACCTTGAGTTTTGGAGTTGTAGTTCACCTACATCCAGAGAGCACGGTGGACTCAAACAATGATAGATATGGACCAAACTTGGCACGAATACTCAATATGCCCAAATGTGAACACTGGTGGAGTTTGGGGGAAATAGACCAGAGGTTGTGAGGTATATTAGAAACTAGGCAAAGGAGGTTTATATATCTGTGGAAGGGGCCTTGTAGCTTCAAGGCCTGGCTGATTCCTGCAGGGGGAATCCTTTGTTTCAGAGTGTTGCTCTTTATTTACTGTCCTGATTTTAGAGTTGTTTAAATACTGGTAGCTAGATTTTGATCAATTTCATGGTTTCCCCCTTTCTGTTGAAATTGTCCACATGCTTGTGGATTGCAATGGCTTCTCTGTGTAGTCTGGCAGGGCAGATGTTAGAGTCATTGTTAGTTTCCAATATATCTCACAACCTCTGAAGATGCCTGCCATAGATATGGGCAAAACGTCAGGAGAGAATGCTTCTGGAACATAGCCCTACAGTCCGGAACACTCACAGCAACCCAGAACCCTTGTCTGTTTAAAGCAAGTTGCAATAGGCTTGCTCCTCCTCACAGGAGGGCCACCGGCTACCACTGAAGACATAAATTCAATCCTTCTTTCCAAATCAATGCTCCTCTTCCTTTTAGCACCGGGACTGTGGCGCAGCTGGCTGGGAGTCAGCTGCATTAAATCACTACTGACCAAAAGGTCATGAGTTCGAAGCCAGCCCGGGTCGGAGTGAGCTTCCGACCATTGTATAGCTCGCTGTTGACCTTTGCACCCCAAAAGACAGTTGCATCTGTCAAATAATAATAAGAAGAAGAAGAAGAAGAAGAAGAAAAAGAAGAAGAAGAAGTTTGCAGATGACACCAAATTGGGAGGGATAGCCAATACTCCAGAGGACAGAAGCAGGATTCAAAACGATCTTGACAGATTAGAGAGATGGGCCAAAACTAACAAAATGAAGTTCAACAGGGACAAATGCAAGATACTCCACTTAGGCAGAAAAACGAAATGCAAAGATACAGAATGGGGGACAATGCCTGGCTCGAGAGCAGTACGATGTGAAAAAGATCTTGGAGTCTCGGACAACAAGTTAAACATGAGCCAACAATGTGATGTGGCAAAAAAAGCCAATGGGATTTTGGCCTGCATCAATAGGAGCAGTGTCTAGATCCAGGGAAGTAATGCTACCCCTCTATTCTGCCTAGGTTAGACCACACCTGGAATATTGTGTCCAATTCTGGGCACACAATTCAAGAGAGATATTGACAAGCTGGAATGTGTCCAGAGGAGGGCGACTAAAATGATCAAGGGTCTGGAGAACAAGCCCTATGAGGAGCGGCTTAAGGAGCTGGGCATGTTTAGCCTGAAGAAGAGAAGGCTGAGAGGAGAAATGATAGCCATGTATAAATATGTGAGAGGAAGTCACAGGGAGGAGGGAGCAAGCTTGTTTTCTGCTTCCCTGGAGACTAGGACGCGGAACAATGGCTTCAAACTACAAGAAGGAGATTCCATCTGAACATGAGGAAGAACTTCCTGACTGTGAGAGCCATTCAGCAGTGGAACTCTCTGCCCCGGAGTGTGGTGGAGGCTCCTTCTTTGGAAGCTTTTAAACAGGCTGGATGGCCATCTGTCAGGGGTGATTTGAATGCAATATTCCTGCTTCTTGGCAGGGGGTTGGACTGGATGGCCCATGAGGTCTCTTCCAACTCTTTGATTCTATGATTCTATGAATAATCCTTATTTATAACCCGCCAACATCTACCCAAAGGGGACCCGGAGCGGCTATCATGAGGACAAGCCCAAAAATAACACAACATAATTAAACACAAAACTGCAAAAAGCAAAAACAAAAACAAACATTACAACAAAATATATAAAATAACAAATAACAGTATAAAATAGCGTAGTAAAATAAAACAGATAGTAAAATCACAAGTAGGAAATTTAGGTACCGCTTATGCTGGGAGGCTAATTTAACTAATTTACGATGCCATAAAAATCTCCAGCAAGCATGCAAAGAATGAGAAAGTACTCCATCAGTGTAACAAATGGACGGTGAAGCAACAGCTCCCCTGGTGGCCAGAATACCCTCATGAAGCTGGAATGTTAAATGGCCTCTGTATGTCTGTCTATATATGTTGTGTGTCTATGGCATTGAACGCTTGCCATGTATATCTACATTGTAATCCGCCCTGAGTCCTCTGCGGGGTGAGAAGGGTGGAATATAAATACTGTAAATAAAATTACGTCCTCTCCTTTTAGACTGCTGTTAAAAAGCGAGCACCCGACCTGCGAAGAGCACGAAGACGAAAAGATCAACATCTACTGTGTGACGTGTGCAGTCCCCACATGCTCCCTGTGCAAGGTCTTCGGAGAACACAAGGAGTGCGAAGTGGCTCCCCTCTCGGATATCTACATGAAGCAGAAGGTAGGGCCGATCCTTGTTTGCGTTAGGAGATCCAGGAGGTCCAGGAGTACCCTGCCATTCATTCATCTATGTCAGGCATGGGCCAACTTTGGCCCTCCAGGTGTTTTGGACGTCAACTCCCACAATTCCTAACAGCCTCGGGCCCCTTCTTTTTCCCCCTCCGCCGCTTAAGCTGTTAGGAATTGTGGGAGTTGACGTCCAAAACACCTGGAGGGCCAAAGTTGGCCCAAACCTTCCCTAGAAGCTGCCTGAAATTTGCAACCAGCCCCATTCTTTTTAAAAGGGAGGTTATGGTTTTCAGCTGGTTCAGACTAAAGTTCACACCAACTTCCATCAAACAGCCACAACATTCATTAGCAGCCCTCCAGCTCAGAAACCCAATCCCCAAATGTCTCATTTCCCCTCATTTTCCAACCAAAATAACAATGGGGAAGTCATGCAACATCACTTCTGCTCACAATTTTGACAGGAACGAGACCGATGAATATGACCAAGATGGTTTAAAACAGTGTATTTTAATATTGAGATAAATGTTTTTAATGTTTATATATGCATATAATTGAATGTTTGCCATACGTATGCTGTGCTCTGCCCTGAGTCCCCTTCGGGGTGAGAAGGGCGGAATAGAAATCTATATAAATAAAAATGTAATGTTCGTTTGTGGGATTAACAGAACTCAAAAACCACTGGACGAATTGACACCAAATTTGGACACAAGACACCTAACAACCCAATGTATGTCCTTCACTCAAAAAAATTGATTTTGTCATTTGGGAGTTGTAGTTGCTGGGATTTATAGTTCACCTACAATCAAAGAACATTCTGAACCCCACCAACGATGGAATTGAACCAAACTTGGCACACAGTTCTCCCATGACCAACAGAAAATACTGGAAGGGTTTGGTGGGCAGTGTCCTTTGGTTTTGGAGTTGTAGTTCACCTACATCCAGAGATCACTGTGGACTCAGACAATGATGAATCTGGACCAAACTCTACAAGAATACTCAATATGCCCAAATGTGAATACTGGTGGAGTTTGGGGAAAATAGAATATTGACATTTGGGAGTTGTAGTTATTATTTTATTTATTTGTTTATTTAAAAGTTTTGTATACCGACCTTCTCACCTCTCTTGAGGGACTCAGACCGGTTTCCAACCATAATATCACATACAGTCAATAAAACATCATAATTCATATTACAATAAAACATTAAAACAGCAATTACAATCAATAACTACAATGGTCAGTCATCCTACTAAAAGCATTGTTCATCATCCTCCATCATATCTCAGGGTGTTGGCTCACTCATCGAATGCCTGTCTCCATAACCACATCTTCAGCTGTTTCCTGAATGTCAGGATAGAAGGGGCGGTTCTGATCTCCAGTGGGAGAGAGTTCCAGAGTCGAGGAGCCACCACCGAGAAGGCCCTGTCCCTCGTCCCCACCAGACGCGCTTGCGAGGCCGGTGGGACCGAGAGCAGGGCCTCTCCAGACGATCTTAATAATCTTGATGGTTCATAGGGGAGAATACGTTCAGAGAGGTAAACAGGGCCGGAGTCGTTTAGGGCTTTATAGGTTAACACCAGCACTTTGAATTGTGCTCGGAAGCTAATTGGCAGCCAGTGGAGCTGGTGTAACAGCGGAGTGGTGTGCTCCCTGTACCCAGCACCCGTTAGTAGTCTGGCTGCCGAGCGTTGGACTAGCTGCAGCTTCCGAGCAGTCTTCAAAGGCAACCCCACGTAGAGAGCGTTGCAGTAGTCTAAACGGGATGTAACCAAAGCGTGGATCACCATGGCCAAGTCAGACTTCCCAAGGTATGGGCGCAGCTGGCGCACAAGTTTTAATTGTGCAAAAGCTCCCCTGACCACCGCCGAGACCTGGGGCTCCAGGCTCAGCGATGAATCTAGGAGAACTCCCAAACTGCGAGTTGCTGGGATTTATAGTGTGCTTCTGGGTGAGAGAATCAGCCATCTACAAAATGATCTGATAAGTTGAAATACTTCTGTTGAAGCTTAGTTACTGACAGCAAGAGCAATAATATATACGCTTGGCTTCCCGTATCCATGGAGTCTGTATCTACAGATTCAAGCATCAGCCTGAAAATATTCCCATACCCCTTACAAACATAAAAAAGCAAACCCTAATTTTGCCATTTTATATAAAGGACTCCATTTGTGCCATTATATATAATGGGACTTAATTAACGATGGGATAGATGATTATAATGGTGATGATGACAATGGCAGCAACAAGATCTCTTAGAGTCCTTTGATGGAAGTTGGTCGTCAACATCAGCTCTATCTAGGTGACAATTTGACAATTTGGACCCTTTTCCTTCTGCCCCATTGCTGCAGAGCATCTAAAGAACTGGGTTGTTGTAGGTTTTTTCGGGCTATATGGCCATGGTCTAGAGGCATTCTCTCCTGACGTTTTGCCTGCATCTATGGTAAGCATCCTCAGAGGTCGTGAGGTCTGTTGGAAGTAGGAAAAAGGACACTGGAGGATAATGCAAAGACTCTTGAATGACCCTTGGCTTACAGATGGAACCCCAGCTATGCCTATCCCTTGGAAATTGTCTCAATTTTTTTGGGATGGAGGAAAGGACATTGTAATCTCAGAATTGTTGTCAGCATTCTTGGTGGGAAGCCATTCTGACCATTGCAATTCTTTCTTTAAGGCGGAGCTGACGGGTGGAATTGGGAGTCTTGTGGCTGCAAATGACCGGATCCAAGCCTACGTTGGTGACTTGCAAGGCACCTGCAGGAATATCGAGGTAGGTATTCCTTCTTATTAGTGCTGGCCCTTAGTTTTGTGCCAGTGAGTTAGTGAATCCATGCCAAGAACTGCCCTTGAACGAACTATCCAGATGATGAACTTATTTGGTGAGGTTATATTTCTTTATTTAGCATATTTATATACTGCCCCTCTCAGCCCAGAGGTGACTCGGAGCTGTTCACAGATTGGCAACAATTTGATGCCTGAACAATTATAACAGTAAAACAATCATAAAATTCTGTTAAAAACAATAGAATCTATGTTCTGTCGCATGCTGGGCCTGTAAAAGCTGTACTTCTCTATAGGACGTATACTTTAAGCCCAGCGGGAAGCCAGGGGCGCCTCAAAGAGAGGTTCTCAGGGATTTTTCTGAACTGATGGTCTTTAGAGTCTTTAATGATACAACAAAGTCTTTATTATGGAAGAAACAACAAATCTTCAATGGTTCAAACAACATTTCAAGGCTTTCTTAGTCTAGTCCTCAATGGGCTGGTACCTGACTTTGATTAACTGAACCTTCTCTGTAGGAAAAACCCTTTTTAACCTCTCCCAGGCTGTTTACTATCTATGCCTCATCGGTGTGGGTCCTACTACCGATTCCAAATGCGTCTGGGTATTGAGTAGACCTACAAGCCGAGGCTTGAAAATATTTCAGCTGGAGTTCAGTGGATCTGTAGTGCTGTCCTCCCTCAGAGAATTCTTTGAGAACTTCAGGGCTGTTTTCCCTCTGTTGCTGTGAGACTGAGAGGCTGTGAGCTCTCAGCAAGAGCCTTGGGACCTTTTCCCTGGAATTTCTGTTTCTGTTTCCCCGGATGTTCTTGGGAAAAGAAGTTTTTCTACGGGATGAGCTGGTCTACGTCGTATAGCTTAGCTTCCTTATTAGAGACTGCCCAAAAAATGGCTCCTTTTCCTCCCAGAGCCCTGAACAAGGGGCGGAACCAAAGCTTAATTATGATGGACAGGAGGCCTGTCCTATGACTGCAAACAGATAACAGAAAGAAAATAAAGTTGGAGCTCCTGGTACAACTGTATCAGCACAATCTATATAAATAAAAATGTCATGTTCATTTGTGGGACTAACATAACTCAAAAATCAGTGGGCGAATTGACACCAGATTTGGACCCAATACACCTATCAAGCCATCACTCATAAAAACACTGAAAAATGCAGCAGAAGAGACTTAAAAAGCCAAACATAAAAAATACACTACAATGCATGCATATAGCCACATTGTTCCCCTTGACATTAAGTCTAGTCGCGTCCGACTCGGGGGTGTGGGTGGGTTGTTGGTGCTCACCTCCATTTCTAAGCCCAAGAGCTGGCGTTGTCCGTAGATAGGAGGTCCAAAGTCATGTGGCCTGCATGACTGCATGGAGCACCATTACCTTCCCGCCAGAGAGGTACCTATTGATCTACTCACATTTGCATGTTTTCGAATTGCTAGGTTGGCAGAAGCTGGGGCTAACAGCGGGAGCTCATGCTGCTCCCCGGATTCGAACCTGCAACCTTTCGGTTACCAAGTTTAACAGCTCTACGGTTTAACCCACTGCGCGACTGGGGGCTTCGACATAACCACATGTATTTATACATAAACACATGTACACAAACATATGCACACACATATACATATATATACACACACAAAACACATATACACAGACTGGGTCACAGCAACGCATGGCAGGGGACAGCTAGTATGATATACAAATATTAAAACCGTACAAAGCCTTAAAACATTATCGTAAGTGTCTCCATGCCAACTCATTATTCCATTGCGTTATCAAGTAGTTCCATGATTCCGTATAGCTCTGCCGTATTTGGGAAGGCCTGCTCAAAAAGCTAAGGTTCACCTTTTTTTGAAAAGTCAGGAGGGAGGGAGCCGATCTTATAACTCTAGGCAAGGCATTTCACAGTCGAGGGGCCACCGCAGAGAAGGCCCTGTCTTTCATCCCCGCCAGACGCATCTGCGAAGAAGGTGGGACCGAGAGCAGGGCCTCCTCAGAAGATCTTAACGTCCTAGATGGTTCATAAGGAGAGATACGTTTGGATAGGTAAGTTGGCTAAAATACAATATGTTTTGATTGATTGCTTTAAAGTTTGGACTAAAATCCAGAGCAAACCCACTGCTGGTTCTCAGCATCCCTTCCTACAAGAGCAACTTGCTGTTCCTTTTAGCCCAACAGCTCTCAGAGTCTGTGTGAGTGGGCTGAGTCATTGCCTCTTGCACAACGACGTCAAGCCATCGAGTTCGAAGAACCAATTACTTGGTGGAGATTAAACCTTCTTTTGGTGGCTTCATTGCATCACTGCGCGCATCATTTTGGTTGTTCTGATACATGCTGACCTGGTTGTGGAGCTCAGAGTGGCAACTGAAGGGCTGTTTTGAAAAACACCAGACCTTTTCTGAATGGTTTGTTCAGCCTGTGACCAGAATGAGTTGAGTTGAGGTGGTCAAGGATGGTGAGGGTGACCGGTCAATGACAAATAGGAAGTGTGTGATCCTTGTCAAGACAATATCAAACCACAGCCACATCCTCCAGCAGGAAATAACTATATATTTAGTCACAGCAAATGTAGTCTAGTGAAATCAGTGGCCGAATTGTTCATGCTAGAGTCAAGGTGACCAGAAAATGGATTGAGTCAGTTGAGCTTTCTTATAGCTGTGGCCGTGCCCATATGTCTGTGTCCCTTCTAACAAATGCTGCTTGTCAAACCAAATAATGTCCAACTAAGCTACTTTTCTTCCATCCGAAACAACAACACCATTCCATATACACACCAACCTTCAAAACCCATGAGCACAATCTTTACTTTCGTCTTCTTTAGATGGATTGAAACCCACTCCCAGTCCCTTACAACATTGTCCAGCAACTCATGGATCCAATATGCCCAAATTTGAATACTGGTGGGGTTGGGTGGGGGAGGGATTTGATTTTATCATTTGGGAGTTGTAGTTGCTGGGATTTATAGTTCACTTACAATCAAAGAGCATTCTGAACTCCACCACCAATGGAACTGGGCCAAACTTGGCACACAGAATTCCCATGACCAACAGAAAATACTGGAAGGGTTTGGTGGGCATTGACCTTGAGTTTTGGAGTTGTAGTTGAAAACTTGGCTCTTTGAGCAAGCAGAATAGATAACATGAAATTATGAATGATGAACATGGAATGGTCAGATGATGCTACTGGAAAATGATTTTAACAAGATGACACTGGTGACTACACATTTTAATGGTTTTTATATATGTTTTATATTTTTATATTGAGTGTTTTTTTAATTGCACTTTTATGAATGTATGGCACAGAATTGTGCCAATCTGTAACCCGCCTTGAGTCACCATATGGCTGAGAAAGGCAGGCTATAAATGTCGTAAATAAATAAATAATAAATAAACCTACTTCCAGAGAGCACTGTGGACTCAAACAATGATGAATCTGGACCAAACTTGCTATGAATACTCAATATGCCCAAATGTGGACACTGGTGGAGTTCCCAACATTTTTTTGACCACTTGACCAGGGACCACTTTAACCAGGGACCATTCTCCAACATTAGTACCAAAAGGGTTACAAATCAGTTTTTGGACAACTTTTGATTTGGTTTGGTTATTTGGGGTGCTGATTCAGGAAATTGCATTGGATAGACGACATCAGCTCTAGTTTCTCATACAGAATATATGTCAGCCAGCAGTTGCCATCTACTTGCCTACAGAACACCATATTTAATAAGCTTCAGCACTATAAGAAGGTTGTTGTAGGTTTTTTCGGGCTATATGGCCAAGTTCTAGTGGCATTCTCTCCTGACGTTTTGCCTGCATCTATGGCAAGCATCCTCAGAGGTTGTGAGATCTGTTGGAACTAGGAAAATAAGAGGGTTTCGTAAGACCAGTCGCTCTCATTGCAACGGTATAATAACGGTGAGGCCGCGTACCATATTTTAGTTCTCGTGGACCACTGGTGGTCCATGGACCACAGGTTGGGAACCACTGATCTAGACACTAGACTCCTTTTGATGCAGTCCAAAATCCCATTGGCTTTTTAGCTGCTGTATCACACTGTTGGCTCATGCTCAACTTGTTGTCCATGAAAACTCCAAGATCTATGTATTGTCAAAGGCTTTCATGGCTGGAATCACCTCTGAGGATGCTTGCCATAGATGCAGGCGAAACGTCAGGAGAAATGCCTCTAGAACATGGCCATATAGCCCGAAATAACCCACAAGAACTGACTCCAAGATCTTTTTCCACATGAACTTCTCTTCCTCCTCCTCCTCCTCCTCCTCCTCCCCTTCTCCTCTGCCCTTCTCCTCTTCTTCATCCCTCTCTTCTGCATCCTGCACTATCACCAGCTCTAGCCAATCTTTATGTCATTGGGCATTGCTCTGAAAACAGAGCAAGACGTTTCTTCTGTTAATGGCACATTAAACATGTTGTAGAGTTGCAAACTATGGCTTTAGAAACTTTTACATAAAATGCCACATGCCAATATTCACTGTGTGATTCAGGTTGGATTAAATAGGATGCGTTTGTGTGTTTAAAAGGGCTCTCTAGGCGGGTGGGGAAACCCACCACCAGCAGCACTAAGACTTGAGAGAATCTGCCATTTGTGTTGTTTTTCCTTAACTCCTCTGTCAGAAACTAAGCAAATTAAGAAGAACGAAGTTTGTGAAACGGGTGGGTGAGATTGAGTTAACATTTAAAATTGCTGGTGTTAATGGATTTTTCTCAATGCAAAAAAAACACCCAAACACCCATGCTTTTCCCTTGAGGAAGGAAAAAAATCTGTCATTTTTACGGCATCATCGAGAGATGGGGGAATACATTCGTGGGAGAAGTGCACAGATAGAATATCTGAAATTCAAAAAGTACAATTTCAAAAGGGAGGTGAGCTAATGTTTTAATTTCTTGGGATTGTTTTAACTAACTGTAGTTAGGGCAAACCACAGTTTTTCCATTTCAGCCATCGCTGGAAGCTAGGATTAGTCCAAAATTGAAAGAAGTTGCTTTTGATCTCTTCTTGCAAGTCCATAAAAGAGGAGGAGAACTGGAGAGGAATATAACACCTATGTTCAAACAGAGAGATAATCATCATCATATCATCCGGAGAGGCTCTGCTCACGATCCCACCTGCATCGCAAGCGTGATTGGTGGGGATGAGGGACAGGGCCTTCTCTGTGGTGGCCCCCTGACTCTGGAACTCTCTCCCCAAGGACATCAGAAAAGCCCCAACGTTGGCAGTCTTTAAGAAGAGCTTGAAGACCCAGTGTGCCTTTCCAGAATAGGAAACTCCAAGCATCATGTCCCAAATGCACTTTACTAGAGATTTAAGATTGTTTACATACCGCACCTATCTCCAAAAACCTATCAATTTCACCTGGTAACATCCAGCATTTTCAAATTTTTTAATCATTACATTTGGCCCGGCCTTAGTTTTTAAATGCGTCATGGTGTTATTGTCTAATGTCTATTGCTATTGTTTTAATGTTTATTGCTTTGTTTTATGAGTTTATGTATTGTTGTATTTGTTATGCTGTTGTTTTACTGATGTATTGGGCCTCGGCCTCTGTAAGCCGCACTGAGTCCTTCAGGAGATGTTAGCGGGGTATAAATAAGGAAATAATAATAATAATAATAATAATAATAATAATACTTTATTTGTACCCTCTACCATCTCCTCAAGGGACTTGGTGCGGCTTACATTCGGCCAAGCCCACAGCACATCAGTAAACATACAACAATAAAAACAATAACAACAGTAATACAAAACAATAAATAAAACTCATAAGCAGAAAATAAGCAATAAACATTAACAATAACACAACGACGTTTAAAAACCTATGGCTGGGCCAAATGTAATAATTAAAATTTAAAAATAACGTTGAGCATGAACAGGTGAAATATGACTAGGATACAGATAAATAGAAGAAACAATTTATTTATATTTAGAGACAAACACACAACAGATAACACAAAACATACAAATACGTACATGACAGACAAGTATCTGTCAAACTTCTACCAATGTAAATAGTGAGTGAATTAAGTCTAAATCTCACACCATTAAATTGTTCATAAAATGACCCCCAAGTGAAAGAATAAACCCTTGGATTAAGCAGACCTGTTCCTTATAATGACAACCCATGTGTTGTATGTCATCCTATGATTGTGTCTGATGTTCATGATGAGATTGGGGCTGATGTTCCTGATGGTGGGCCTGGGTCTGTTGGCAATGGAGATGAGGGTTTGCCTGGGCTTGAGTTAAGCTTAGACGAGAAGCCCGAGCTGTCTCTGGAAGATTCACAAGGTCACATTCCTGGGAGAGGCCCTTCACAGTCTTTCTCAGAGTAACTGTTGGAGATTATTTGTCAAGTGTAGAAGTTAATGAGAGTCAAGTTAATGAGAATGTAGATAGAAAGCGAGGCTTTTGCAAACAGCAACAGAGTGCTCAGGCTTCCAGAAGGTCAGTTTGTTTACAGGACGAGAGAAATAAGAAACCTTTATCTGGTGGGAAGGTCAAGCGAAATGCTTTTCTTTCAGTTTTGGGATCTGGAAAAGCCTTATACTGAATCATGGGAAAGAGTTGCCTCAGTTGGGACAACGTTGGAATTTCATGTCAGTCTTGCTCTCAAGTGTTCTTAGTTTCATGTACCAAGTTTTTGCCAAGCTCTTGATTTGTGTATTGGATTTTTCATGCAGCCTTGTTTCATGGATTCTTGTACCTGTTTCATGGATTTATATACTTATGGATCTTGTTTTGCCTTGAAGCTCATGGACTAACCTTTGTTTTGGAACTTTAATGTTTAGCTAATTTTACTTGTTCTGTCACGCGCTGGGCCTGTAAGGAATTTCCTTTAGAACAGGACGTGCAACTTTTGCCCAGCGGGAAGCCCAAGGAGAAGTTCTCAGAGGTTTTCCACTACAAATGACCTTTAGATGGCTTGTGAAGTATAACAAAGTCTTTTATTAATGAACAATCAAACAGAAACTTCTCTTGTCTTCAGCAAAGATAAACAAATGATTCCAGGCTTTTATGCAACTGGTAGCCTCCTAAACTTGCCCACGAAGGACAGGCAACTGTCTTCAATAAGTTATTCTTTAAAGGAAAATCCTCTTTTTAACTTCTCCCAGGCTGACTGTAATCTAACCCTTACTGATGTGGGCTCTGCTACCGGGTTGAACTGCGTCTCGAAGCACCGAGTGGACCTACCAGTAAAGGCTTAGATATTCTCCAGCTGGAGTTCTTTGGTCTTTCAAACTGTTCACCCTCCGAAGTTCCTCAAAGCTTTAGGACTGCTTCCCTGGAAATCTTTGGGTGCTCTTAAGACTGTTCTCCCCTGGAAAGTCTTAAGGGTTGAAGCTTTTATACAGGGGAAGCTTGCACATGTCCTGTACATTAGCTTTCCTTGCTGAGACTATCTAAAAAATGGCTCCCTTCCCTTCCCAATTGCCCTGAGCAAGGGGCGGAACCAAAACTTAATGATGATAGACAGGTGACTTGCCCTATGACTGCAGCCAAAGGAAGCCATCTTTCTGCAGAGTCCCTGAAACCTTGGAGTGCAAGCAAACATTTAATACAAAGTAAATAAAGTTGGAGCTCCTGGTACAGCCGTACCAGAACATTACTGCTTTGTCTACTTATATCCTTCAATAAATTGCTTGCTGATTTTACCAAGCTGGTGTGGTGTTTAAGGTCAGAGATATTCCTGCTCCAGTGTATGACACCATGCATGGTTTGCTGCATTCCATCCAGATGAAGCTTTCAACCTTTTCCCTCCTTTTGAGCAGGAGAATTGCAAAGCCCAGAAGCAGGCCCTGTGTGAGAAGTTTGACCGCATGTCTGCCATCCTGGAAGAGCGGAGAAAGATCATGTTGCAGAGGATCACTTACGAGCAAGAAGAAAAGACCCAGCACTTGAAATCTCTCAGCAAAGCATGCAGTGAACACATTGATTCATCTTCCAAGTTGGTGGACACGGCTCTGCAATCTATGGAGGAGCCCCAGATGGCGGATTTTGTGCAGGTTCGGCAATGGGAAATTGCGCCTATTTGTAATACACACACACACAAAGTAGCAACTCCTATATTGTCGAAGGCTTTCATGGCTGGAATCACTAAGTTCTTGTGGTTTTTTTCGGGCTATATGGCCATGTTCTAGAGGCATTTTCTCCTGATTTTTCGCCTGCATCTATGGCAAGCATCCTCACTACCTCTGAGGATGCTTGCCATAGATGCAGGTGAAACGTCAGGAGAAAATGCCTCTAGAACATGGCCATATAGCCCGAAAAAACCCACAAGAACCTAACTCCTATATTATACTATCAGTTGTAAATATGAGCATCCCCTTGAAGAGCAGGGTAAGGAGAACAATGCTGCTAATATCTGATCATCATAGACTGCATACAAGGAAATTCATTTGGATATCAAGTAGAGCAGGCATGGGCAAACTTGGGCCTTCCTGGTGTTTTGGACTTCAACTCCCACAATTCCTAACAGCCCCAGGCCCATTCCTTTCCCCCCTCAGTTGCTTAAATGGAAAGGAAAGGAAAGAAAAGGGCTTGAGGCTGTTAGGAATTGTGGGAGTTGAACTCCAAAACATCTGGAGGGCCCAAGTTTACTCATGCTTTAAGTAAAGTATCAGGGAATGATAACTGACAAGTCACTCTATTTTATTTTCCACTTCTGCATTTGAAAAATTGATCTTATGATAAGCCAGTTTCGCTTGGATGTTGTGAGATGGAATAATGTCAAAATTTCAGAGTTAAAATCAAATATATAATGGTAACAGGTGTAGAATTCCTTCAATACTCAATCCTTCCTGTAATTGTACTCTAGACTAAGTGGTGGATGAACTCTTGTGCGTTTGGCAATGTGCATATGTTGGCCTCAGTATTTGGTTCTTGGATGTTTTGTCCTCCAAATGCTAAAAGCCCAAGACAGCATGATCTATGGTCATGGCAACCGGATTTGAAGCTGAAGTTCAGTACATCTGGATGTCCAAAAAGTTGAGAACTGTTATGGATGGTTCAACAAAGATACCATGATAAAACGATCTTTGGAGGTTTATTTTGTTCTACACTTTGCAAATAGTTTACACATTGGGATGCTGTGAGTTTTCCAGGCTACATGGCCATGTTCCAGAGGCATTATCTCCTGATATTTCACCCACATTTGTGGCAGGCATCCTCAGAGGTTGTGAGGCCTATTGGAAACTAGGCAAGTCAAGCTTATATATCTGTGAAATAATGGCCAGGGTGGGAGAAAGAATTCTTGTCTGCTTGAGGCAAGTGTGAATGTTGCAATTGGCCATTTACATGTCCATTGCAGAGCTAGGCATTAGTACAGGACATGTGCTCTAAAGACACACCAGCTCTGTATTTTGGTATCTCAAATGATGTGTCAAGAAAGCTAAATTAAAAATTGTCATATGGCTTCATCTATGTTGTAGAATGAATGCAGTTTGATGCCATTCTGAATAACCATCATGGCTCAATGCTATGGAAATCTGGGATTTGTTGTTTGCTGACACACCAGCACTCTTTGGCAGAGAACGTTAGACTCTGCAAAACTACAACTCCCATGATTCCATATCATTGAGTCATAGAATTCTTCCCTGTTCAGAACATGAAATCCTTCTCAGATCTTCAAACTACAAGAAAGGAGATTCCATCTGAACATTAGGAAGAACCGGGTTGTTGTAGGTTTTTTCGGGCTTTATGGCCATGTTCTAGAGGCATTTTCTCCTGACGTTTCGCCTGATTCTATGGCAAGCATCCTCAGAGGTAGTGAGGTCTGTTGGAACTAGGAAAAAGGGTTTATTTATCTGTGGAATGACCAGGGTGGGGCAAAGGACTCTTGTCTGCTGGAGCTAGGTGTGAATGTTTCAACTGACCACTGGCAGTGCCTGGAGCAATCTTTTGTTGAGAGGTGATTTGATGTCCTTGTTTGTTTCCTCTCTGTTGTTGTGTTGTTCTCATTTTAGAGTTTTTTTTAATACTTAGGAAGAACTTCCTGACTGTGAGAGCTGTTCAGCAGCGAAACTTTCCCTCTCAACGCCAGAGTGTGGTGGAGGCTCCTTCTTTGGAGGCTTTGAACTAGAGAATGGATGGCCATCTGTTGGGGGTGCTTTGAATGCAATTTTCCTGCTTCTTGGCAGAAAGGAGTTGGACTGGATGGCCTACAAGGTCTCTTCCAACCCTATGATTCTTCTAGATCAGGGTCCTAGTTCAACAGTAGGAGACATACATTGCACATAGCATGTCCAGGTTTCAAATAATGGCATCTGCCACTGATACATGGAAACATACCATCGAAAACCTTGGAGAATTGCCATTAGTTCAAAGTTCAACCCAAGCTAGCTGTGAAAACTGGGAGTTATTTATCTTTCGAAAAATATTTCCCATATAATATTCTGCTTTGGTCAGACCGCATCCGGATTCTCCAACTTTGGATATCTTTCATCAGAAGTTGGATGGGAATCCTTCCAGACTACTGTAGTTGTGTATTCCTGTATATCAGGATTAGATGACCAACTTATAAGATTTTTTTTACATTAGGTAGCGTCATCTGTTCATTCCCATATTTTGCCATTTCGCTGGATATTATTAGCTAGTTCACACTAACATTTTCAGAAGCAAGAGTTGACTCATGAAAGCAGAAATGGCACACTTTGTACTTTTTCAGGTACTTTGTCAATAACCTCACTTCCCCCCACTCATCTCCCATTTGTCTGTTTTCTTCTCTTCTTCAGAATGCCAAAGTTCTCATCCAAAAGTAAGTATTATTCATTCTTTTAAATTGCCTCCCTGTTGCAACCCTTAACTTACCTTTGAGGAAGGGGGTTCAAAGAGAGGAGAGCTCTCTATGAGATCCTCTTATAATTGCTTCTCCTCTTCTCCGTCCATTGAACTTCAGAATTGTTGAGATGACCCAGAGCTGCAAACCAGATGCCCTGGAAGCAGGTTATGACAACATGGAGCACTACACTGTGGATTTCAATGCCGAGGAACGGCTCCTTTACCAGCTCGATTTCATCAAAAGTATGTGTCTGGAGGTGGGAGTGGGAAGGAGTTTGGAAAGTCTATAGCCTTTCAAATCCCCATTTGGGTAGATTGAGTGGGCTGTACGTCAGGCAATTAATGCAGCATTAAAGTCCTCCTTTATGCCTAGAAACAAAACAACAAATTTATTAAGACTCCAAGCGTTTCTGTCCTTAGGGAAAAGATACATTTATTTGGTTGGGTATATCTATCTGTAGTTGTTTAAAAAAATAGCATTCTCAGTTATTGTAAGATGCGTGATAGTGAAATGGAATAGAAAGTAAATGATATGTTCTGTGCCTAGATTATGAAAAGTTGATATTCCTTCCTAAAGGAATGTTCATTTGTATATTTACTATTCTGCCTTCAAGTTGACTGTTAATTTATGGGAGTGGTTCCCAACCTTTTTTTGACCAGGAACCACTTTGAGCAGGGACCACTCTCCAACATTAGTACCAAAAGGGTTACGAATCAGTTTTTGGTCAACTTTAGATTTGGTTTCATTATTTGGGGTGCTGATTCTGAAAATTGCATTGGATAGACCACATCAGCTCTAGTTTCTGATACAGAACATATGCTATCCAGTAGTCACCATCTGCTCATCCACATAAGACAATATTTAATAATCTAGAGCTGACATGATATAAATAATCTTTTATCAGTAGTCAACCTCTCCCCCTCCCAATATCCCTGTTGCCTCAGCATTATAAGAACTTTTTGCGAGACTAATCACTCTTATTGTCACATGGTTTTGAGACAACAGTGTAGTGATGGTGTGGCCAGAGACCATATTTTTGTTCTTGCGGACCACTGGTGGTCCACAGACCACAGGTTGGGAATGACTGATTTATGGTAATTCCATTATTTTCAAAGGATTTTAAAGACAAGGAATATTTATACAATTTTTTAAAAGACAAAGTGGTTTTAGCCATTTTTTTCCTCTAAAATGCATCCCATAGAACCTGGGATTAGTCTCCCATCCAAGTACTAACTAGAATGTATCCTACTTAGTTTCCAAGATCAGATAGGATCTGTTGCCTTCAGGGTGTTTGTTTAGGGTTAGTTTTGGTAAAGAGCATAAAAAATTATTAAGTTGCCTGCTCATTCTTCCATATAAAAGTACTGAGATTTTAATACTTAAGAGTGCAGATGCTAAATCTGACAGGACTGTGCTCTTGTTTAAGATTCCCACTATTATTGGGGGGGGGGGGATTTTAAAAATGGCATTTTTTTTCATCTCAGAGGACACCTCTTTGTAAATCTCTAGACCCGTGTTTCTCAACTTGGGGGTTGGGGCCCTTGAGTGGGGATGTCGTGAGGAGGTTTCAAAGGTGTTGCCAAAGGCCATCAGAAAACACATATCTCTTATGGTCTTAGGAATCCCTTTGGCATAGTCGTTTGGGTCCACAGTGCTCTGTGAATGTAGGTGAACTACATCTCCCCTAAATCACTCTCAATATCATCCCAAATCCCTCCAGTATTTTCTGTTGGTCATGGGGATCTCTGTGTGGAAAGTTTGGCCCAATTCCATCGTTGGTGGGGTTCAGAATGCTCTTTGATTGTTGGTGAACTATAAATCCAGCAACAACAACTCCCAAATGTCAAGGTCTATTTTTGCTAAATTCCTCCAGTGTTCACATTTGGGCATATTGAGTATTTGTGCCAAGTTTGGTCCAGATCCATCATTGTTTGAGTCCACAGTGCTCTCTGGGTGTAGGTGAACTACAACTCCAAAACTCAAGGTCAATGCCCACCAAACCCTTCCAGTATTTTCTGTTGGTCATGGGAGTTCTGTGTGCCAAGTTTGGTTCAATTCCATCATTGGTAGAGTTCAGAATGCTCTTTGAGTGTAGGTGAACTATAAATCCCAGCAACTACAACTCCCAAATGACAAAATCAATCCCCTCCAACCCCACCAGTATTCAAATTTGTATCCTGCATATCAGATATTTACATTACAATTCATAACAGCAGCAGTTATGAAGTAGCAACGAAAATAATTTTATGGTTGGGGGTCACCACAACACAAGGAACTGTATTAAGGGGTCTCAGCATTAGGAAGGTTGAGAATCACTGTTCTAGACCTTCCAATGTGATTGTATGGTCACCATCTGCCAGAAATTGATCATATAATTGCTCTGGAGGATCTACAAATGCCTGTATTTTTAACTCCAGCATCAGCTCCAGCTTGTCTCTCTGTCTATCAACTGTTCAGGAAGTCAGTGGAAAGGTTCTGTTGAACTCATTGTTCAATGCAAGGCTGTCTCCATACATTTGGAAAGACGAAAGGTTGACTATTTTTGATATCTTTTATTTGGTTCCCCTCCCCTAAAAAGATAGCATGACCTTTCTTCTCTTCTCCACAGCAGTGCTGTCTTTGCTGTCCTTCCGTCAGCAACCAAAAACCGGTTCATTCCTACCGTCCTTTGAGAACTGAATGTTTTCAAACAGGGTGCTGTGATGCTCTGGGTTGCAGTGTTTTAAAATAGATTTCAACATTATTTTTAAATCTCTCTTTGAATTAGCTTTTTTGACCGTTTAAGAGTAGTTTAATAGCAATCTTTTGGTTTGCTGTTGTGTGTTTTCAAGTTGTTGTTGAGCTTTTATATGTTTTACAAATCTTGGGAAGGTTTATTCAAAGGGACTTTGAATGGCTTCAGCTATATTATATTTGTTTTAATTTGAAAGCTGCTATTAGTCCAGTCTTGAGAAGAAAGATTTGGGAAAATGATGATGACGACGACGACGACGACGATGATGATGATAACGTGTTGTTGTAGGTTTTTTCGGGCTATATGGCCATGGTCTAGAGGCATTCTCTCCTGACGTTTCACCTGCATCTATGGCAAGCATCCTCAAAGGTAGTGAGGTCTGTTGGAACTAGAAAAAATGATTTATATATCTATGGAATGACCAGGGTGGGACCTCGACAACCTCTAGGATGTCATCAATAGGAGTATAGTGTCTAGATCCAGGGAAGCAGGGGCGGCTGGTCCATTACGCAAAGTAAGCGGTTGCGGTACACTTTTTTTGCCAGGGGCAGAGGCGCCTCTGTAAATGCCCCTCAACCGCTACTTGAGGAGCACTCCCCAGCTCACAACAGCCCTAGCAGTCTGTTTGCTTCGGCTTCCTTGCCTCACTGCCGGGCGATCCTCTTCCTGAAGGGGCCAGGCCCTTGAGCCTCGCCTAGCCCCTCTCGTTCCTGCTCCATATCAATGATTGGTTGGGGGGGGGGGGCGCAAAATACTGTTTGCTTACCATTGAAAATTACCTAGGGCCGCCTCTGTCTGTGCATATCTATGGCAAGCCTCACTACCTCTGAGGATGCTTGCCATAGATGCAGGTGAAACGTCAGGAGAGAATGCCTCTAGACCATGGCCATATAGCCCGAAAAAACTTACAACAACCCAGTGATTCCGGCCATGAAAGCCTTCGACAATACGATGATGATAATGATGATGGAGGGCACGCTGATATATTTTCAGGTTGAAATTACAAGCAAACTGACCAACAAATGGATGGTACAACTGCAGATAAGATCAAAATAGCACAAGTACAAAAAGTGACACTGTGGGTGCATCTCCAGTGTAGAATGAATGTAGTTTGACACCACTTTAACTGTCATGGTTCAATGCTGTGGATTCCTTGGAGTTTATTTATTTATTTACAGTATTTGTATTCTGCCCTTCTCACCCTGCAGGGGACTCAGGGTGCACATATACATGGCAAACAGTCAATGCCAATTAGACACACAGCATATATAGACAGACACAGAGGTAATTTAACATACCAGCTTTCTGGCTTCATGAGGGTATGCTTGATTCTGGCCACAGCAGGAGCTGCCACTTCACCGTCCATTTGTGATGCTGAATCCTTTGATGGAATACTTCCTCATTCTTCTGCATACTGCTGGAAGGTTTTATGGCATCATAAATGAGTTAAATTAGCCTCCCCACATAAAGCGGTACCTAAATTTCCTACTTGACAGATGCAACTATCTTTCGGGCTGCAAAGGTCAACAGCAAGCTAGACTAATGGCTGAAAGCTCACTTTGACCAAGGCTGGCTTCAAACTCATGACTTCTTGGTCAGTAGTGAGTTAATGCAGCTAGCTGCACCACAGCACGGTCAAGCTGTAGCTTGGTGATGCACAAACAGCTTTTGGCAGGGAAAGCTCAAAACCCCGTAACGCTACAACGCCATAGCATTTAGCCATGACAGTTAAAGTCTTACTCACAGCTGTATGAATTCCAAATTGAACTGGATTAACTGGCAGTGTGGACTCAGATAACCCAGTTCAAAGCAGATATTGTGAATTATCTGCCTTGATTTTCTGGGTTATATGGCTGTGTGGAAGGGCCCTAAGGCAACTCTTTTGTGTTCCTGTAGAGTTGTTGACATTTGGTCATGATGCCAACAAAGACTCTAAAACCCATCTGACTGGCAGCAGAAGCCCAGGAACATCAACTGATTCCTAGATTGTTGGATGGTTCAAAATGTGGATATGATAGACTCTGAAACAGAAAAAATAATAAGAAATCAGATATCAAAATGTCTTCATCTGCCTGTGGTCTCTTGATCGTCTTTGCTCTAGTTGAAGATCCTGAGCCATCAACAGAGGATGAAGGGGCCAGCGGTGAGGCTGAAGACCCATTGGCAGAGATTGGGGCTGCTGCCGAGGAGGAGAGAGAAGACTTATTTGCCTTCGGGAATGAGGAGCAGGAGCAAGGAAATGCTCTCCTGATGACGGAGACCTTGAGCAGAGCTGCCCATGAGGCTATGGCAGAAGACCCAGCTGGCCAAGGGGGCAGCCTATGGGGTGCTCAACAGGTGAGAAAAGGCAGGAAATGAGACAAGTGCCCACATTTCTAGAGAGACAAAAGGAGACAGAGCACAAACGGTGTTCAGCTAGAATAGCTGCTAGAAACGCTGAACTAATTGGGAGACACCCTAGCACCTCCTGTGTGGGAATTCAGGGCTATAAATCAGAAGCAGGAGCAGCCAGATTTCGCTGGTAAAGACTCTGATGCTGATGTTTTCACTCCAATTGACCCTGCTTTGTGTCTGGTGCTAAGGACTTAGTGATCATTGCCCGTTGTCTGATGGAAGACTGCTGTTTTTTTGGGATTTTGTAAGAGACTTTAATTTGTGTCTGCATTAAGACTTCCTTGCTTTGTTTTGTTTTGCATTTTTCAACTGCATTTGCTTATCCTTTGTGTTTGCTGAAGTAAAGGACTATTCTTTTACTTTCAACATTGTATTAAGGCTGTTTTTGAAGGGCAACTCGGGACAATTTGTTCTAATTCCTGTTGCTGCTGTTAAGTTTTCCCTCACTTTTGAATCTCTGGGGTCTTTCTTGGATAAGGATAAGACAGTGTTGTGGCGTAATGTAAAACAAACGTCCAGTTCACGTTTGGTCAGCCTACACACTGCCTTGCCAGAGAAAGAAAATATGCCATGCGGGTGAACAGTAGAGAACAAGTAGTTTACTCTTCGTAGTTCAGAACAACATATGTACAATGTGAGCAGTTGCATCAACTCACATAATGTCCTTTTATGAGAGATTTAAAATGGTCTTTCTTTGTCCATGTGGGTAAATTCCTTCACGAAGCAAGAGCACACTCCAAACTCTGTCTCTCTCTTCTTCTCTTCTTCTCTCTGGGAGCACGTGTATAGCTCAAGCCTGAACAAAAATGTAACAGTATCCAAAAGTCCCAGGCTCAGCTTGCTCCCTGGGCATTGCCCAACCAATCAGCTTCATGCATCTTATTTTACAGTTGACACATACACGCTCTCTGATTCCCTGCATGCTCCAACAGGTATCACCCATAACCTATTATCTATAATGACCAAAACAGCAACAGCAGCAACAAATGCAACAGAAGCCATGCTTCACTGTTTCTAATGTATGGCAGTGTTTTTAAATCTAGGCATTAGACAGAAACCTGCTGGAGCATTTCACTTTTCCTTGATATCTGGTTGTTTTGTTATCTTTAAGAGTCTTCTGGATGGAGGCTCCAGTTCATTAGCATTTCAGTCAGAGGGTCTCCTACTGAACAAGGTGCCCACCCAAGGTATGGATGGAGCCTCTGGGGAAACCTTCAGCAAAACAGAGAGCTCAGAGGAGACTGAGGAGTATGGAAATCAGAGCGGCAACAGGGAAGATGAAGCAGCTGGTCACAGCGTCTTTCTGAATGGGATGGCATCTTCCACCAGTCAGGTTAGATTTTTTTTGTGTCTATTGCTGAATTGCCCACTGAGACGCCTCTATGAAACTCTTTAGGTTCAGATTAGAAGGGCTGAAGGCCCTGTATAACGTTACCGCACCTCTTTACCACCAATTATAAGGAACCCGGGGAAAACTCTACCAGCCGATTGCTGCTAATTATAAGGAACTTAGCAGGGAAAGGAACAGGGGATTTTAAAATAGTGAAAGAGGCAACTGGGAGATCTTGAAACTGTTTCTTTAATTGTTTTTGCTGCCACCTTATTTTGTTAGGTATTCAGACTGAGTTGTATGTGGAGAGTATACTTAGTAACACTCTTTTGTGTTACAGTAATGTTTGTTTTCTTTAGAGGGTTTAAATCACAATGATGTTCACACTGAGGACGGTATAAAGTGTCAACAATAAAAAAACTTTTTTGACAGGCTTAAACTTCCTCTGGTACAAATGCATAGTGGTTTCAGTAAGTTACTGGTACATAAGCTTCTGGTTACTTTTGATGTACAATTCTTAGATGGGCTCTGGGTTCAAATCTTGATGTTAACAAAACAGGAGATTATCTCAGGAAATTAATCGCTGATAATAATTCCAAACAAAATTCCGTCTTTCCGGAACCTAGCCAATAGCCTTTGGCCTAGCCTTCCTCAGGGACAAAGAACAGACCACAAACAAGGTCTTATTCCACTATCTGTATTCCTAGCTAATTTCTCTAGTTCTTGAATACCTCAAAAGATTAACCCAGCTCTCCTATCTAACACCAACCACCTGTTATCACCAACTGACAAACTCCCAATGGACAATTTTCAACTGCCAACTCAAGCCTCAGTTCAAAAGGTACATTTTTTTCTTTTTGAATGCTAGGCTCCGCCCTCTATTGTCTAACCAATCCTGGCTGTCTAATCTCTGCTTCCTGGATTAGGACACGCCCCCTCTAGAAAACCCTTAACTAAGATGGCTTCTCCTTGTTTCCCTATCCTAAGATGGCTGCCAGGGCTTCACCAGGCCCACATTTTAGCTGCTTAAGGTAAGGAGTTCTTTACACCCTGCGAAAGCTTACACCTTTTACAGAGGTTGGAAATGAGACTTATTTTGGACCACAGCTCTTATGATGGCTGGACAGTTGCAATTCAGAAAGTAAGCTTTCCCACTGTGTGTTTCAAGTTCAAAGTGCTTTTTGAGTCTTAGCTCTGCAAAATTTCCAAAGAACTGTTGAACGTGTGTTGTCGAAGGCTTTCATGGCCAGAATCACTGGGTTCCTGTGAGTTTTCCGGGCTGTCTGGCCATGTTCCAGAAGCATTCTCTCTTGACGTTTCACCCACATCTATGGCAGGCATCTTTGGAGGTTGTGAGGTCTGTTAGAAATTGGTGAAAACTTTATAGATGTCTCCAACTCTCATTGTATCTAGGGCTTCTTGTGTCTGTCTTGAATTCCCAGTCAGTTTTATTGGGTGACCCAGTATTCGGAGAGCTCTCACTCATTCTATTTCTGTCCCTTGGGAACTACAATTTCCACAATCCCCACAATTTCCTAACCCACATGACTATCTGTATTGGATACAGGAGTGCGATATGTAACATCTCCCCAGATGTACCGGTTTCCAAACTCTGATTTGGGCAACCAAGAGAAGATGTCCTGGAAGGACATGGGCAGTTGGTGGTGTCTGTCAGCATCCTCCCACCTGATTGTGTTCAGAGTTATTTTTGAGGTTGCCATGCTCCTTGTGGATAAATCTTTGTTCTCTCTTTGCTTGGATCAGAGAATGGCCTGGGCTGCCTTTCTTTCCCTGAGTCTGGCTCTCTGTGAGTCTATTCTTAGCCTCTCACTCCTCTTCCTAACTCTGCCTTAACAATGGCTCAAATGTGAGCTGTGCCTTTCATCTTCAAGGGCTTTTTGCTGAGGCTGGGAGCTGGTAATAAGGAGAAGGAGGACACTTTTTGGAAACTTGCCGACTTTTGCATATGGATTTGGGGACTAAGGAAACAGGTAGAAGGGCAGGATGCCCTCTATCCATCATGCCAACCAAGTAGTCAGGGACATAGGCAGGATCTAAAAGAGCATCTACACTGAAGAAATAATGCAGTTTGACACCACTTTAGCTGCCATGGCTCATTGCTATGGAATCATGGGAGTTGGTAGTTTTATTATGTTTTTAGCCTTCTCTGCCAAAGAATGCTGGAGCCTCATCAAACTGCAAATCCCAATATTCCATAGCAATGAACCATGACAGCTAAAGTGATGTCAATTAATTCTGCAGTATAGATGCTCCCTCCATGAGAGATAGTTTGTGGATACCAACAGGTAAAAGAATTCAAATCTCCACTCAGCTGTGAAAGATCTATCTATCTATCTATCTATCTATCTATCTATCTATCTATCTATCTATCTATCTATCTATCTATCTAGCCGTCCCCTGTCATACATTGCTGTGGCCCAGTCTGATATATGCAATTTCTTTATGCTTGTGGGTAAACAGTATTTCTTGTTGTTTCTTGTCAGTGTTGATGTAGAGATTGACTGGTTTGACTACTCTGGAATATGCAACATATAATTCTCCTTCTTTAGGGGTCCCTTTCCAATCTATGATACTATATCTGTCATATACATCTATATGTGTATGTGTGAATCATATCTATCTATCTATATGGATGGCCCTTTGTCAGGAGGGTTTTGATTACATTTTCTTGCCCAGGTGAAGGGAGTTGGACTGGATGGTATTCAGGCAGCATTTTGCAACCTGAGGGTTTATATATCTGTGGAATGACCATGGTGGGACAAAGAACTCTTGTCTGCTGGAGCTAGGTGTGAATGTTTCAACTGACCACCTTGATTAGCATCTAATTGCCTGATTATTTGTTTGCTCCAGGCACTGTCAGGCAATTATATGCTAATCAAGGTGATCAGTTGAAACATTCACACCTAGCTCCAGCAGACAAGAGTCCTTTGTCCCATCCTGGTCATTCCACAGATATATAAACCCTTTTTCCTAGTTCCAACAGACCTCACTACCTCTGAGGATGCTTGCCATAGATGCAGGCGAAACATCAGGAAACAAAATGCCTCTAGACCATGGCCATATCACCCGAAAAAACCTTGGCCATGGTCTAGAGGCATTTTGTTTCCTGACGTTTCGCCTGCATCTATGGCAAGCATCCTCAGAGGTAGTGAGGTCTGTTGGAACAACCCGCTATCAATAAGACTGTTTAAAAAGATGTGTCAGAACTTTGTACCTAATGGAGCAAAAGGGGACGATCCAGAAGAGTTTGCCATTCAATGCTTTGTGTATCCCATTGTTAAATCAGAGCTTTACCTTGACAATGAGCCTGTGGCCTGAAAGAGACCTCACACTTCCTGATTTATTGCAATTATCTCCATGTCCTGGATGGCTGACACAGATCAAAAGATGCCACATTTGGTCCCCTACAGTGCAAGGTTTAATATACCGCCAATTAGTGGTTATGCTGTCTCTGACCTAAATCCAGTTAGTAATCTCCCCAAAAGGGGAAGCAAGCATAACATAAGAATTTGAGTCTTGGATCAGAATTTTAGAAAATCTGGGTCCAAATGCCGACTCAGTCATAGCCATGACGAAGTCACACTCTCTCAGACTCAGGAACAAACCCCCTCTGAATGGGTGATTGCCAAGAATATGCTAAGGTATTTTCACCATAAGTCAGAGTTGATTTGGCAACACATAACAGCAATGGCAACAATCTGTGATGTGATACACAATGGACCGATGTTTTAATAAGAAAGTTTCTATTCATTATAGTAACCAAGAAGATGGAAATCTTCTAGATGCAAACTGCTCACCCAGGGTGCATCTGGACAGTGGAATGAATGCAGTTTGATACCACTTTAACTGCTGTGGCTCAATATTACGGAATCCTGGTATTTGTACATTCTATGGGTTGAATGAAAAGTAATGCCTCCACCTTTGTTACTTGGGTTTGGAAGAGAATATTTTAATAATATATTGTCTAATAATGTATTGTCTTAAAATGTATTGTCGAAGGCTTTCATGGCCGGAATCACTGGGTTGTTGTAGGTTTTTTCGGGCTATATGGCCATGTTCTAGAGGCATTTTCTCCTGACGTTTCGCCTCTGAGGATGCTTGCCATAGATGCAGGTGAAACGTCAGGAGAGAATGCCTCTAGAACAGTGGTTCTCAACCTGTGGGTCCCCAGGTGTTTGGCCTACAACTCCCAGAAATCCCAGCCAGTTTACCAGCTGTTAGGATTTCTGGGAGTTGAAGGCCAAAAACATCTGGGGACCCCAGGTTGAGAACCACTGCTCTAGAACATGGCCATATAGCCCGAAAAAAACGACAACAACCCAATCCTTAGAATGTGCTCTTTAACTACCACTACTCACTTTTCAACATAATCACCAGAGAATTGGCTACATTTCTGCCAATGATGAACAAGTTTTGTGAAGCCATCACAGAAGAAGTTGACACAGATCTTCCGATAGCCAAGCAAAGCAATAATGTGACCCACACGTTCTTGTGAAATGCCGATTATGCTTGAAATTTCTCTCTGAGTGATATGATGATTATCCTGAATCAATCTGTCAACCTTTTGCTTGTGAAACTCGGTGGTTGCTGTCACAGGACGTCCAATTCTTTGTTTGTCACACAAGACAGATGTTCCCACCTCAAGATCTTTAAACTTACTTGCCCAACAATGCACAGTACTCGCATCAACGCAATCACCATAAACAGCTTGCATTCTCTGATGAATCTCCTTTCGAGTGACACCGTCTGCTGTCAAGAATTCAATGACTGCACGTTGCTTAAGTCGCATTGACCAACCACCTGCACAGGGTTCCATACTTTGCATGTTAAGAACATAACCGTTCAATGCTAAAGCTTCCTGCCAAAATGGAACTGTAGAGGAGAGTCTACTGAACAAGCCAGTACCTGCCACATATCAGTACTGCCATCTGTTGAGGAGTTACGAAACTGGAGGCATTACTTTTCATTCAATCCTCATAGTTCGATGCTGTTTGGCAGACAAGGCTATAGACCTTGTAAAACTACAGTTCCTAGGATTCTGTATCATTGGGTCATGGCAATTAAAGTTATGGGTTGTTGTAGGTTTTTTCGGGCTATATGGCCATGGTCTAGAGGCATTCTCTCCTGACATTTCACCTGCATCTATGGCAAGCATCCTCAGAGGTAGTGAGGTGTTATGTCAAACTTCATTCATTAAAGTTATGTCAAACTTCATTCATCCTACCTTCTAGATCAGGCATGGGCAAACTCCAGCCCTCCAAATGTTCTTGACTTCAACTCCCACAATTCCTAACAGCCGGTAGGCTGTTAGGAATTGTGGGAGTTGAAGTCCAGAACATCTGGAGGGCTGAAGTCAGCCCATGCCTGGTGTAGATCCAGCCAAAATAACCTATTGGGTTTCCCTGGCTTAATGGGGATTGGAACCCAGGTCTCTTGGAGTCTTAATCCAGCTCTCAAACCAAGCACCAACTCACTCATTTGTTACCCATTTCTGTCTTCCTAAGGAAAGGGAAATTGAACAAGGCTCTCATTCATGTTCTCAGGAAGACTTTCAAGACACAATCTCTTTTTGATTCTTGTATATTTCTGCTTCTCCAGAGTCTAGCATCCAACTCCTCCACTGAGACATGGAGAAGGGAAAGCTTCACCGAACCTCTTCTTAGCAGCTGCTTCAATCCCACTCTTTGGCTGCATGATTAGGGAAGGTGAGTGCATTGAATTCAGGTCTTTGTTTGAAATATCCCCAGTCATTCTTCCATGCGATCCATGAATCATGAATAGTTTGAAAAGAAGGATGTCTCATCTGACTTTCTCCAGAAAGACAAGACTGTCCAACACTGGAGCTTCTGAAACTCAAACTCCACAAAATATAAGTCCTTATAGGTGTTTTGGACTTCACCTCCCAAAATCCATGATCTTCTGGGAGCCGAAGTCCAAAACACCTGGAGGATTAGAGCTTGGGAGCTTCAGTAGTTTCCTACTGTGTTCTTCCAGATATTTTGGACTTTGATTTTCAAAGCTCCAGTCACATCACCAACAGTTGGGGATTTGGAGATCTAAAGTCAAAAACGATGTCAACCAAAATATTTTTTTTCCTGAATATGTTATGTGCCCCAAATGAGAAGTGTATCTGGGGCAATAATAACCGTGACTTCTGCAAATTGGGCAGAGAGGTTTTTGCAATCTTCATTAGTGTTAAGACCAAATTTTTGCAATCTTCATTAGTGTTAAGACCAAATTTCTATCACTATCTAATGACATAGAAGGGATTACATTCTAGGTTGTTTCTTCTGTAGCTTGGCAATTTGAGGCTGGGAAGAGGTTTGCTGCTGGGAACATATTGATCCTTTTAGCAAATTTCGTGTACAGTTCTCATAGCTTTTAGTTCCTACCTCTTCACTTCAATTTCTTTGGTTGCAAGATATAACCCTCAAGAATCTCTCTTGCTTTCGAGTTAGGCTTGAAGTCCAGAGTTAGAGAACCTGTAGCCAGCCATGGGGGGTTCATCTGCAATGTAGAATCAATGCAGTTTGACACCACTACAAATCCTCCGATTTGTAGTTTTATGAGTCACCAGCACTCTTTGGCAGAGAAGGCTAAAGTCTATGGGTCTGGAGAACAAGTCCTATGAGGAGCGGCTTAAGGAGCTGGGCATGTTTAGCCTGAAGAAGAGAAGGCTGAGAGGAACCTTCTCTCAGCCGGGGCAGAGAGTTCCACTGCTGAACGGCTCTCACAGGGAAGTTCTTCCTCATGTTCACATGGAATCTCCTCTCTTGTAGTTTGAAGCCATTGTTCCGAGTCCTAGTCTCCAAGGAAGGCAGAAAACAAGCTTGCTCCCTCCTCCCTGTGGCTTCCTCTCACATATTTATACATGGCTATCATCTCTCAGCCTCTCAACCCCAGTAAAACCAAGCTTGTTTTCTGCTTCCCTGGAGACTAGGACGAGGAACAATGGCTTCAAACTACAAGAAAGAAGATTCCATCTGAACATGAGGAAGAACTTCCTGACTGTAAGAGCCGTTCAGCAGTGGAACTCTCTGCCCCGGAGTGTGGTGGAGGCTCCTTCTTTGGAAGCTTTTAAACAGAGGCTGGATGCCATCTGTCAGGGGTGATTTGAATGCAATATTCCTGCTTCTTGGCAGAATGGGGTTGGACTGGATGGCCCATAAGGTCTCTTCCAACCCTTTGATTCTATGATTCTATGTAAAACTACATCTACTAGGATCCAGTAGCATTGATCCACAGTGGTTCAAGTGGTGTCAAATTGCATTAATACTACAGTATAAATGCACCTTTAGATCTTGAACCTTGTCACAAGATAGTCTGGGTAAAATTAGTTATTTAAGATCCCAGATCTATTACTAGATCCCACTCCTGAAGGACTGGAATGCTTTCTTCTGCCATAGACCACCTATGGCAGAAGACCTTTATTATTTTCTTTGTTAAGCCTCAGGTGTCCCTTCAGTTAGAATGGTTTAGTTCCTTTTTGTATCATTTATTGTTGGAGAGAGCCTTAGTTAGACCCTGTCCCTTTAAGAAACCTCCCAGAAACTGAGATTGCAGTCCTCATCAGCAACTCCTTTGCTGTTTGTCAATCTAAGGGTGCCAAGGAGCCTAGAGACTGCAATGTCTCCCATGCCTAAGGTTAAGGAAACTCAGTCAAGTTTAAAGAAGCCAAAGGTTGAAGAAAATACGTTTAAGACTTGGAGAAACAAGCTTTACGTATTGAGGAACCAAGTCTGCAGTTTAAAGAAGGAGAGAGACTTAACAGGAGGTGCTAACAAAGAACACAGAAAAGAAGTTAGAAAAAGGATATCTTTGGATGAAATCAAGAGAAACCCAGTTAGGTTCTGACCTTCCATCTGTTCCTTCAAGTCATGGAATCATAGAATCAAAGAGTTGGAAGAGACCTCATGGGCCATCCAGTCCAACCCCCTGCCAAGAAGCAGGAATATTGCATTCAAACCACCCCTGACAGATGGCCATCCAGCCTCTGTTTAAAAGCTTCCAAAGAAGGAGCCTCCACCACACTCTGGGGCAGAGAGTTCCACTGCTGAACGGCTCTCACAGACAGGAAGTTCTTCCTCATGTTCAGATGGAATCTCCTCTCTTGTAGTTTGAAGCCATTGTTCCGCGTCCTAGTCTCCAAGGAAGCAGAAAACAAGCTTGCTCCCTCCTCCTGTGGCTTCCTCTCACATATTTATACATGGCTATCATGTCTCCTCTCAGCCTTCTCTTCTGCAGGCTAAACATACACAGCTCTATAAGACACTCCTCATAGGGCATGGTCTCCAGACCCTGATCATTTTAGTTGCCCTCCTCTGGACACCTTCCAGCTTCTCAATATCTCTTTTAAACTGTCATGCCCATAATTGGACATAGTATTCCAGTGTGGTCTAACTAAAGCAGAATAGAGGGGTAGCATGACTTCCCTAGATCTAGACACTATGCTCCTATTGATGCAGGCCAAAATCCCATTGGCTTTTTTTGCCGCCACATCACATTGTTGGCTCATGTTTAACTTGTTGTCCACAAGGACTCCAAGATCTTTTTCACACGTACTGCTCTCGTAATTGTTTGTTAGTCAGACCCTGCAAGGAGTTTGGGTACTGATCTTCAATACAATTAAATTACTTTTTTTTGTTTACTGTTGTACCTTTTGTTGTGTGTTTCCAGCTCTGTTCTTGCCAAAAATAGAGGACCTGAGAGAGTTAGCTCTGGGAGCAAAAAACCACCTGTTGCAACATTCACCACCAACAAAACTTATCTTGCAGTAATGAGGTTTCTTTATTTTCAGTAGTAAATAAATTATTGGAGAAACTTGCAATTGCAGTGAGTTCCAGTTCTAATATTTCTGGGTTTTTGTAGGTTTTTCCAGGCTATATGACCATGTTCTAGAGGCATTTTCTCCTCACCTGCATCTATGGCAAGCATCCTCAGAGGTAGTGAGGCCTCACTACCTCTGAGGATGCTTGCCATAGATGCAGGTGAAACGGCAGGAGAAATGCCTCTAGAACATGGCCATATAGCCCGAAAAAACCTACAACAACCCAGTGATTCCGGCCATGAAAGCCTTCGACAATACATATATTTAAGCTGTATCTCCATCCTACTTCTTTCTTAGATAGCCTCCTGCCTTACCCATTTTATCTCACTTGTTATTCCCTTGGCTTTTAGATCCAATGACATCCTTCAACAGGATCTTCCACACCTCTGATAGGCTGACCTGCCTGAACTAAACCCTTGTGTGGGAAAAGCAAGGATCAAACAATATGCACTCTTAGAGACAAGAGCACCAACTGTTTGAAGGATGACCCAGTTGATGTGAAACAAAGCATGGTAGGACCTTGGACCGCCTCAACCTTCTTTGTCCTTCTCCTTGAACTGTTCCCTACTCATCCCAAAACCGCATCCTTTTCTGGACCACCCACTCTGATCCATCCAAAACAGGGATAGTAAAATGGGATAGCTTGGTGCCAGTTAATAAATGTGTGTGTATGATCTTGTCAAGTCATAATCTTTGGCTCACAATTGGGGCTTTCTGTTGGTGGTTGACATCAACCCCATTGGCACCATTGGGTCTTGGGTTTTGCCTCCGGGATGCTCCTGACTTGGCCTCGCTTGGCTTATTCTTTCTAGAACGCCCAGTTTGAGAAGGAAACAGGCTTATTAAAATAAAGTTTATTCAGAACACTTCAACGTACATTTTTCAAGTTTGCTGATTGCTTTAATCCACTGGAGACTGGGAGGAAACAACATCTGTACATGACCAAACCAATCAGTTCACATCTGAATCGGGAGGTCTGTAATGCTGAGATAACAAAGAGAGAAGCAGCAACATGTTTGGCGCTCTAAACACGCTCTCTTTCACACACACACACACATTCACACAGAGGCATCTACACACATTTTGCTATGATCACATTCTTGTGACCCAAAAGCTGTAGAAGGAGTTATACTAGGCTGGTGTAGAGCAGCACTCAAGAACGACACAGATAGAAGCTGTACATTTTTGGCAATTTTCAGTTACAGGTTTCGAGAGGGGTGCTCAAAGGACTTCAAGATCTGACTCCAGGGAAAAGAAATGGTGCTCGTCATTTAGTTCTGTCATCTCGGAACTGCAAACCCATCCCGTTCCTTTTCGAGGAAGAGTCTCAAGAAGGAACTGCTTGATCCTACCAGCCCTTGTTTAATCACCTTTTCAACGAAACCACAGTGGATTTTCAGTTCCGACATGAAGTACACTTCTGAAGCTGAACTTTGCCCTGGGAAACAAAGTAGCGAGGCATAAGAAACAAATGGAGTGACAAGGAGTGCGAGGATTTAACCAGAGAGCCTTAAGATGGTATCTTTATGTGACCACAAAGCGCATTGGGTAACCTTGTGCCAGTTGCCATTTTACAACCTAACCTCCCTCACAGTGTGGTTGTTCAGATGAAGGGGAGGAACAAGATGTTCTGTGCCGACTTAACAATGAATCTGCTCAGAGTTTTATTTGAGAGTTAAAAAGAGCTGTCCATGGTGCTGCATCCTATCTCTAAAATGAATTTAGCACCTTGGATAGCTCCCCCAAAGATGAAAACAAACCTGAGAGTAGATTCAATGCACGACACAGGCAGCCCCGATATGAGTTGGTTCTCCACATTTGTGGGTCTGACTTTGGGGCATTTGATGGTTCACAGATAGGATGAAACTCTAGGTTCTCCAATATACCTATATGTCAACATCTGCTGAAGGTTGACCACACCATCATCCTGAAGGGCTATCTGGGTTTTCCAGTGAAACTGCATGATCAATGTCCAGTAGAAGATATGCTGGAAGTCCTAACAGTGAATCCGCTCAGAGTTTTATTTGAGAGTTTAAAAGGGCTGTCCATGGTGCTGCATCCTATCTCTAAAATAAATTCAGAACCTTGGATAGCTCCCCCAAAGATGAAAACAAACCTGAGAGTGGATTCAGTGCACCAAGACACAGGCAGCCTTGATATGAGTTGGTCCTCCACATTTGTGGGTCTGACTTTGGGGCATTTGATGATTCATATATTAGATCAATCTCTAGGTTCTCCAATATACCTATATGTCAACCTCTGCTGAAGGTTGACCACACCATCATCCAGAAGAGCTATCTAGGTTTTGCAGTGAAACTGCATGGTCAATGTCCAGTAGTCCTAGAGATTTGTGGAGAGGTATAAAGGTGGAGGACCTCTATTTTCACAAAGGTCCTATATCCCTAATCTCAGTGAATGTGGAGGGATGACTGTACTGAATAAGAACATCTAATTGATTACTGCTTGGGTGCTAATCCTATAGTATGCTAGATATTGGTCTGAATTCAATTGGTCAACTTCAGTATAGTAAAACTATTGAATCTCTAGGTAAATCCCACTGGTTCAATGAGATAAGTATGGAATTATCCATAGCATCCAGGTCATTGTTGCACTGCAGTGCCCATCATTCCTAGCCAGCACAGCTAACAGTGGGAAATGATGGGAGTTGTAATGACCTGTTCGGCAGTGGTTCTCAACCAGTGGGTCCCCATGTTTTGACCTACAACTCCCAGAAATCACAGCCAGTTTACGAGCTATTAAGATTTCTGGGAGCTGAAGGCCAAAACATCTGGGGACCCACAGGTTGAGATCCACTGTGTTAGGGTGACAGAATTGGAATACAGTCCAATATTTTGAACCTTTTTTGTTCTCTTTGCTGAAGGATACAAAAATACGTTGCTTTCCTAACTCTAATTTCAATCATTCTCCTTTCTGCCCTCTTTTCTCTCACCTGTGGGTCAAATTTAGTTTTTCACTTCCTGGGGCAGGAACAAGGACTTCCTTTCCCCTTGTTTACTCCCCTCTATGCGAATTGATGGTGTTGAATCAAATATAGCAATATTAATTAAAAACAGAATGGGGAACTGTAGCAAAACACGTTGTCGTCATTCCTGTCTGGGTGAGCAGAAAATGACATCAGATGAAGAGGGGGTCACGCCACCCCCCAATGAATTGCACTGTTACAAGAATAGAGGGTGAACTTTACAATCAAAACGTTGTCGTCCCCCACCCACCCTAGACCCTCCCCTCGACTCATTTGCCTATATTATGCAGCAATATTTTGTTGCTTCGAGCTTTCTGGGCCAGTCTCTCCTCTCTGGACATCTCCAGGAATTCGCGGAGGAGGTGAAAGGTCAAGTCCAAGGAATTGGGGCGCCCATCCCGCCGTTTGCTGGAGGAAGGAGAGCGCTGGGTTCTTTGCTGCTGGGAGGTGGGTTCCCCTCCCAGGAACTTGCAGGCTTTGGGGGGCAGGCGGTCCTTGGGGTTCTCCCCTTCTTCCGAGCTGGACGGGAGGGCCGACGGGATGGCTTCCCACTCCAGGCGCTTCGGCCACCGCTCCCAACTCAGGCTCTGGAGGGGAAGAAGCTGGGCAGAACCAGACCTCGGCCACTCCAACGGAAGGCAGGACTTGAGTGGGAGGAACAGCAAGAGGATGAAGGAGGCCGCTGGAACCATCTGGACCGTCCGTACCTGGGCTGCGTCTAGGACAGAATCCAGCATCAGAATTAACCAGATGTCAACAAAGAAGTGTCTCTTTTGTATTGTCAAAGGCTTTCATGGCCGGAATCACTGGGTTGTTGTAGGGTTTTTTTTCGGGCTATATGATTATGTTCTTGAGGCATTCTCTCCTGATGTTTTGCCTGCATCTATGGCAAGCATCCTCACAACCTCTGGTGATGCCTGCCATAGATGCAGGCAAAATGTCAGGAGAGAATGCCTCTAGAAATTGGCCATATAGCCCAAGAAAACCTACAACAACCTAGTGTCTCTTTTACTTACAAGTATTCTGCATAGCAGAATGGAGTTGGACTGGATGGCCTTTGAGGATCCCTTCCAAATCTATGATTTCAATACTTTTTAGTTTGCATTAATGAGATCTTTTTATTTTAAAAAAATGGTTTGAACTAGTTAAATTGTGTTGTTGAAGGCTTTCATGGCTGGAACCACTGGGTTGCTGTGAGTTTTCCAGGCTGCATGGCTATGTTCCAGAAGCATTCTATCCTGATGTTTCATCCCCTGCATCTATCAGGCATCCTCAGAGATTGTGAGGTCTGTTGGAAACTAGTCAAGTGGGATATGTATGTGTGTGTGTGTATTCATGGCCAGAATCACTGGGTTGCTGTCAGTTTTCAGGGCTGTACGACCATGTTCCAGAAGCATTATCTCCTGATATTTCACCTACATCTATGGCAGGCACCCTCAGAGGTTGTGAGAGGCAGCAACCAGCCAAGCTTTGAAGTTGCAAGGCCATTAAATGCCAATCAAAGTGGCCACAGGAGTTCTTTCTCCCACCCTGGACATCATTCCAGAGATATATAAACCCACACTTGCCTAGTTTCCAACAGACCCCTCAAACTCTGAGGATGCCTGCCATAACTGTGGGTGAAACATCAGGAGAGAATGCTTCTGGAACATGGCCAGCCTGGAAAACTCACAGCAACTCAGTACTATAATTGTGTAGTGCAAAAGGAGATCAACTTGGCCTGATATGTTCCTTCACTGAAGGCAATGTCCCCAAACAAGAATATTGACCTCAACATAAAATTCCCCTTCAATTCTACTGTTGTGTATGATGATGACAAGGATGTTTATTTGTATCCCATTTTTATTTCTTGACTGAGATGCAAAGTGCCTCACAACAATAGAATCATAGAATAGAATCTGAGGCCTCATCTACACTGTCATATAATCCAGATTATCAAAGCAGATAATCCACACTATCATATTATCCATATTATTGGTCAAAAGATATTTAGCCACTTGTGCTCCTTCTATTTTTATCTGTTTTATATTAATTTATGCAATGCTTTTGATGTGAAATAAATAAATCTGCTTTGAACTGGATTATATGAGTCTACACTGCCATATTATCCAGTTCAAAGCAGATAATCTGGATTTATATGGCAGTGTAGGAGGGGCTATAGAGTTGGAAGAAACCACAAGGGTCATCCAGTCCGACCCCCTTCTGCCAAACAAGAACACATAATCAAAGCACTCACAATAGATGGCCATCTAACCTCCATTTAAAAAGAGATTCGACCAAACACTATGCACCCTCTGTGGATCTTTATCTTGATTGTATCTTGATAAGTCTTTTTTCTTTGCATGCAAACTGAAGATTTAGGTTACTGCAATGCTATAAATGTATGGTACTGCCTAGATATCCTAAAGGCACCAGATCCTTTCTGATCTCTGACGTTAAAGCCTCTTTGTAGAGAGAAAAAACCAGGATATAAATAATAATAATTTACTTGGGAAGTATCCAACATGTGATCAAATACAAAAGCCAGCACAGTGATCTTGTTTGCTATGTATTTATCCAATAATAATTATAAATTGATTGGTAGAGAAAAAGGGGGTATACATATAAAAACCAGTCAAAGTGGTCCCAGTGGTGATCGGCACACTGAGCGCAGTGCCTAAAGACCTTGGCCTGCACTTAAACACAATCAGCGCTGAAAAAATAGCCAGCTGCAGAAAGCCATCTTACTGGGATCTGTATGCATTATCAACCAATACATCACACAGTCCTAGACACTTGGGAAGTGTCTGACGTGTGATCCAATACAACAGCCAGCAGAGTGACCTTGTTTGTGTACTAATCTTGTAGTATTTCAAATAATAATAATAATAATAATAATAATAATAATAA